TCTTGGAGCTAAGTCCAAGTTTTTATGTATATCACTACTTCTGTTTATTTCCGAGGGATAGTTCATTGTATGAATATATTAGAATTTTTTTCTATCCATTTACCCATTGAGGAACATTTGCATTATATCCAGTTTTTAGCTATTATGAAGAGAGCCACCGTGAACATTCTTACACAGACTGCTTGATAGTGTGCTTTCATTTACTTAAGTGAAATTACGTTTCTGTGATTTCATTTGATGTAAGAGTTATTTAAATTTATTAGATTTGTGTTTAATTTTCACACATTGGGTATTTCTTACAGTCATTTTGTTATTAATCTATAGTTTAATTCTGTTGTGGTCAAAGAACATACTTTGTATGATTTTTAAGTTTGTCACCATTTGTTTTATAGTCTAGAATGTGATCTATCTTGGTGAATTTTCTATGCACTTGAAAATTGTGTTTTCTACCATGTGTGAGTAGAATGTTCAAAAGGCCCAGATAGGTGGTAGTATTCAATTATTCTATATCTATATCCATACTTCTCGTTTGTTTTACTTATGCTGTCACATTACTGAGAAGAGTATGTTGAAGTTCTAGGAGACCAGACTTGTCAGTTTTTCCTTTCATTTCTGTATATGTATATATATATATGTGTATATGTTTCTTTTATATATTTTGAAATTCTCTTAGAATTATGTTTTTTTAGAGAAGTAACCCTTTCATTATTATGAAATGTCTCTTTTTATCTCTGCTAGTATTCCTTGTTTGAAATTGTGAAAACCACTTGACCTTCTTTTATGTTGATATGTCTTTCCCTGTCTTGTTTCTTTTAATCTATCTGTATTTGTTTATTTTTTTATTTTTTACTTTAAAAAATATTTTATTTATTTGTCAGGGAGAGAGGGAGAGAGAGAACAAGCAGGGGGAGCAGCATGCAGGGAGAAAAGCAGGCTCCCCACTGAGCAAGGAGCCCAAAGAGGAACTTGATCCCAGGACTCTGGGATCATGACCTGAGCCGAAGGCAGACGCTTAACCAACTGAGCCACCCAGGTGTCTCTCATCTGTTTGTATTTAAAATAGATTTTCTTGTAGATAGTTTATAGCTGGCATATACTTGGTTCTTGCTTTTTTATCCAATTTGACAGCCTCTGCCTGGTAATTGGAGTGCTTAGACTACATTTAATGTAATTATTGATATGGTTGGATTTTTGCTAGGAGTTTTGTGTATGTTTTGTTTTTTTTGCTAGGAGTTTTCAATTTTGCTAGGAGTTTTCAATATTTTTTATATCTTCCCTTTTTTCTCCATTTTTCTTTTCAATTACTTTTTTATGATTATATTTTATCTCTGTTTTGGACTAATAACCTATGGGTCAAAGAGAAAATCACAACAGCAACTAGAAAGTATTTTCAGTGAAATGAAAGTGAAAATAAAACATATCAACACTTGTAGGATGTAGCTACAGCAATCCATAGAGGTAAATTTATATCATTAAATGCTTATATTAGTAGAAGAAATGTCTCAAGTTGGCAATCGAAGTTTTTATCTTAAGAAAAAAAAAGAACAAACTTAAAGGAAGCAAAAGAAAAGAAATGATGAAAATAAGAGCAGAGATTAATGAAATTGAAAAGAGAAAAAAACAATAGAGAAAATTCAAAAGTAGAACTGGTTCTTTGAAGAAAAATCAAGTGGAATTTATCCCAGGCATGCAAGCCTGTTTCACCAGTTGAAAATAAATCAGTATAATTTACTGTCTCATCAGACTAAAGAAAAAGACCCATATAATCATCTCAATAAATGTGGAAAGTTCCTTTGAAAATATTCAGTATACATTTGTAACAAAATCTTTCATTAATTTAAGAACTAAAGGTAATTTCCTCAACCTGTTAAAGGACATGTGCTGAATTCTATTTAGTAGAATTCATTAGTGAAGCTGTCTGGGCTCAGAATTTTCTTTATTGTAACTCATTTTATGAGGCCTGCGATAGGTCAGTACCAAAAACAAAAAAGGAAAACCACAGACCACTTATGTACAAAGGTACAAAAATCCTCAACAACACTGTAATCACACCTAATAATACATAAAAAGGATAATGTATTATGACCAACTGTGGTTATGTAGAACTTGGAGAATTTCCAGTTTTCTTCATATTACTCATTTTTAGTATAATTTTATCATGGTCTATCAACATAGCATGTATCATTTCAATTTTTTTTTAAATTAAATTTTTCTAAATGGTTCAAAATATGGTCTGTCTTGGTAAACATTGTATATGCACTGGAGACAATATATAGTCTGCTCTTGTATAGTAGCGTATTCTCATACCCATTTTTCTATTCAATTGTTTTACCAGTTTCTGATTTGAAGTGGATTTGAAGTTTTTATATGAAGTTTTACATGAAGTTTTGCTTCATATATTTTGAAGCTTTGTTTTTAGATAAGACTACACATCTTGGTCTATTATGTCTCCTTGGAGAATTGAACCTTTTATCATTTTGTAATTTTCCTCTATATCCCTGGTAGTATGGCTTGTCTGGAATTGCAGTTTGCCCGATACTAATATAACTACTCCAGCTTTCTTGTGGTTTATGTTTGCTTGGTATATTTTTCTTTCCTCCATCCTTTCACTTTTAAGTAACATAGGTCCTTATATTTTAACAGTTTCTTGTGGGGAGCATTTAGGTGGGTTCTGCTTTTTTTTTTTTTTTTTTTTTAAGGTTTTATTTGTGAGAGAGTGAGAGCTAGAGAGAGAAAGAGCACACACAGAGGGAGAGAGAGAAGCAGACTCCCCGCTGAGCTGGGAACCTGACACAGGGATTGATCCCAGGATCCAGGATTTGTGTCCTGAGCCGGAGCCAGATGCTTAACTGACTGAGCCACCCAGGTGCCCTGGGTCCTGCTTTTTTTAATCCAGTCGAGCAATCTGTCTTATTTGGTGTGTTGAGACCAGTTGCATTTAATATAACTGTTGATATTGTTGGGTTAAAATGTTAAAATTTGGGGTGCCTGGGTGGCTTAGTGGGTTAAGGCCTCTGCCTTCAGCTCAGGTCATGATCCCAGGGTCCTGGGATCGAACCCCGCATCGAGCTCTCTGCTCAGCAGGGAGCCTGCTTCCCTCTCTCTCTCTGCCTGACTCTCTGCCTACTTGTGATCTCTTTCTCTCTAATAAATAAATAAAATCTTTTAAAAAAAAGTTAAAATTTGCCATTTTTCTAGATGATATGTTTCTTCTGTTGAACTTTTGTTTATTATATATCAATTGAATATTTTTTGTGAATTTTTAAAATTTTCTGATTTCTCTTTTAAAAATGTATTTAGTGATGGCTCTGTATTAAATTTTTTTAGTCTTTTTTACCTCTGTACTTACTCGTGTACTTCAAGCATTCTTCAAGTTTACTGATCTTTTATTCTTACCTAATTAATTTTATCCACTTTTTAAAAAATATATTTTTCATGTCTAGAAGTATTATCTCTTTTTAAGCTTTATCCTTTTTACACCATTTCTTTCCTCATTATGTTGATCTGATGTATATCCTTGAGTATACTTAGAATAGCTTATGCAGTGTCTTTGATTGCTAATTCCATCATCTCTGTGATTTCTTCATTTTCAGTTGACTGAATTTTCTCCTAGTTATGTCTTGTATCATATCTAATAATTTTTTTTTAAAGATTATTTATTTATTTGACAGAGAGAGAGACAGAGAGAGAGGAACACAAGGAGGGGGAAGTGGGAGAGGGAGAAGCAGACTTCCTGCAGAGCAGGGAGCCCGGTGCAGTGCTCGATCCCAGGATGCTGGGATCATGACCTGAGCCGAAGGCAGACGCTTAATGACTGAGCCACCCAGGCACCCCCTATATCTAGTAATTTTTGCCTGAATGCTTAGTGTTACAAATTTTATATTGAGTACCTCATATTATATCTCATAATTGCTTTGTGTATCATATCGTATCTAATAATTTTTCACTGAATGCGTAGTGTTATGAATTTTATATGGAGTGCCAGGTTTTGTTGTTGTTAAAGAACATTGGACTTTATTCTCTCTGAACTTGTTACATTTGGCTCAATTTTATCCTTCTCTGACTTGTTTTTAGGTTGCTATAGGATGGATTTAGAGTAGTCTTTTGGGATAGTTCAGTCTTAGTACCAAGGCCTAGACTCCGGTGTATCCACTGAAGGCTCTAGATATTTAACAGGGACTCTCCATTTTGATGTGAACTCTGACGACTGCGTGAGCTTTGGGAACTCTTCTGCATACAGCTCGCAGTCACTTTTTGTCCAGGCTTATGGAGGTTTTAATCTGTGCACGTGTGGCTTTTTCCTCAGTAGATCTAAGTGGACTCCTATGCAAGTATCCAGAACCATTTCTTCATTTAGCTCCTTCTACTTTGTTTTGCAAATTCTAGCTCTCTTGGCCTTCCTGAGTTCTGATTTCTTTCCCCTCAACTCAGTGAGACTACCATTCTCTTGGGATAACCTTCTCTGGGATAACGCCAGGATCCAGAAACTGCCTTAGAAGCAAAAAGCCTGTACTGCTATCTGAAAAGTGCCTCTGAGTGGACAGTTGAGGCAGATGTCTGGCTTATCTGATTGTTTCCTCCTTAGAGATCATTCAGCACTGTCTGTGGCCTAATGTCCCACCCAGTGACCTGAGTGTATATTTTAAGTATATTTTTCCATTTTTTTCATTGTTTATAATGGGAGTATAAGTCTGGTTCCAGTTATTCCATCATGACTGGAAGTGGAAGCTCTGGTCTGTCATTTCATTTTCAGAACTTTTTTTTTTTTTAATCCAGAATTAGTGTGAAATGCTTAATCTGTGTTTGCTAAGGGAGAGAGCCTGTTAATTTTGTTTGAAAAATGTAAAGGAACTTGTTAGTGTACAGTTCAGTTGTGTCATTAATAAAAATTTAAGTTCTCTACTGTAGTCTACCTTTTGTATAGTAGTCTATTGCTTATTAAGTTAAGGGGGGAAAAAGCCTCGATATACTAATTGATTGTTATATTTCTCATTTTTTAGACCCAAAGATTGTCTTCGGTCTGTTATGAGGAGGGTGAACCATAAAGATCCTCATGTTGCTATGCAAGCTCTGACTGTAAGTGATTTCATTTTAAGTTTTACCACAAAACTGTCTGCTAAAACTGAGCCCTTTTAACTTGTGATTTTATACTTTTAGCTTCTAGGAGCATGTGTATCAAACTGTGGCAAAATATTTCATTTAGAAGTATGTTCAAGAGATTTTGCTAGTGAAGTAAGCAACGTACTAAACAAGGTAAGGAGCATTATTTCCTGTAATGAATTAACAGCCTTCCTTGTGTATTTTATTGTTTGGTTGTTTACATTTTAAATCACAAAGAACTGGTTTGTGCTTTCTATTTTTTAAAATCCTTCGTAGGCTGTGTCTATCCAAGATGTAAGTAAAGTAGATGTTTTGCTGAAGAGACTATAAGTTTGTATACTTGGGAGAATTGTTTTTTTTTAACCAGATTAGAGTATATTTAACCTGTTTTCATCATCATTCCTTTCATCTTATAAGAAAATATATTTGTTTCTCTTTCTGATTAAATAATACCAGTCTGTTTTAGGCACAGTTTTTGTAAATGTGGAGGTATTTTCTTTATGTAGAACTGTTCAGAAATACTGCCAAAATATGACACTGTTTTCATTGTGACATGAGTAAGACCACTACCTGACCATGACAGGATTTTAATGCTGCTTTTTATTTAACTGGATGTAGAATAAGGAACACAATTATGGAATTCAAGGAATTAAGAAAATTTAAGTTACTAAGTAACATGTGAGGTTTCCTAGTAAAAATTTGTGCATTCTGAAGGTAATCATTTCTGACTCTTAGGAAGAGGGAGGATGAGACAGTATATAATTAAGAAAAAATTTAAGATGTCAAAAGGGAAAATGCCTCATGTTTTTGGGAAAAATAATTATTTCCAGGTTTTAGTAGAAAACAGTACAGAAATAAGATAAAAATTTATTTACATAATTCTTTATAGAGTTTTGTACTTTCTTGTCAAGCATGAATATGTGTTCTTTTCCTGTTTTGCTTTATTCAGTTGCATTTAGGTATTTTCTACTAATTAATATCATTTTTTAAATGTCCTGAATGTCCGTCAAAATTTATGACTGTTTATGAAGAGATTTTAGTATACGTTTAGTATACGTTTAGTATATGTTTTCTGTAATTTAATTGAAGATGAGATATTCAAACTTGTATTTAGTAGCATGAAAAACTGTTTTGAAAAGCTAACAGCTATAAACAAGAGAAAGGACTTCTTTATTTTCCAAAGGTTTTACAGTGAACATAGTGATTTTATACTTGAGGGGGAGATACTATTTTGAAGAAATGAAGTTTCTAAAAATACATACAGTGGACCTCAAACCAGGCCTTGGATAATTAAACAACTTGGAAAAAATACACAGTCAGTCATATTTTTTAAAAGTCAGGGATTAGGAATAAAGGAACTGTATCATTTATTTTCTCTTTCCACCTTATTTTTTACTGATCTGCAAAATAGCCGAAACAAAACAGACTACTTTTCTGTGTCTTCCTCATGTATAACGCCCACTTAGTTGCAAAATACTCTGAAAAGTTCGTCTCTCTTACCAAAATTAACATACTTGATCTATTTTAATTTTATATGAGATATGTATGCTGGTATTATCTAATACTTTTTCATAGTGCGAAAAAAAATTTGATTATTTCTAGTAACCAAATCTGCTTTCTTAGGTATCATCTATAGCTAGGAGTAGTGTGTGATTCAAAAAAAAATGTCTATAGCACTTTATAATTTTTATATTCAGTATATCTGTGTTTTACCATTAGCCAAATTAGTACTTTTTCTTACTAATTTTTTTCTCTATTTTCAGGGTCACCCTAAAGTCTGTGAAAAGTTAAAGGCTCTTATGGTTGAATGGACAGATGAATTTAAGAATGATCCACAGCTTAGTCTAATATCAGCAATGATTAAGAACCTTAAGGAACAAGGAGTTACGTTTCCAGCTATTGGCTCTCAGGTATTTTGTAATGCCCTATGCATTGTGGCTACAATTTGTTTCTCTAAAGTCGCAACATTTATATGAAATTTTCTTTTTTCCTCTAAATCCGGGTAGGTTTTACTACTCCAAAGGAATTTTTGTTAACAATCTTGCATTCAGTGGTGCCAGAAAATACAGGGGAATATTAATGTGTTCCAACTTCCACTTTCCCACCGTTGCTGCTTCCTTATAAATTAGATTAGCATTTTTGCAATTTAAAAATTTTTATGGCGTTTTTAATAATACAGACAAAATTGCTTTATGATATCATGCAGCAAGACAGTCTTCTTAAATACTCTTAGTGCTTTAATTTTATCTACAAAGAATGACAGCTTAAAAATCAGGATATCCTTAAAATTTAAGGATGAGTTTAGAGGTTCTTTTCAATATGAAATTTATGAATACTTGTATTAAAAATGAAAAAGAGTTAAGGTAATCAGTGAGGAGAGAAGCACACAAAGCATCTTCCCTTAATAAGAGCTGATGTAGATATGATTGAGTGAAAGGCTTAAATTGCCTTTCTGCCCCTCCTTCCCCCAATCTATGTAATGGAATCAATTTCTGATTTATGTCATAAAGAAAGAATGGAAGGGTCTCTCTTTTTATTTATTTTTTTCTATTCTGGGTAACCATCCTTTGGGATCTCCAGCTAATCTAGGATGCTTAAAATGTATGATAATTTACTATATTGACTTTCTTTACTGCACGGATTGGGGTAGAATATGACAAGTGGTGTGAAAGCATGCATAGAAAACTCACAAGGTGTGGAGGGTTCGAGTTCGCGGTTTTGACCTCTTCAGAGAATTGTGAAGTGATTCATCCATACTTATCTAGATTTCTACCCAAAGCACTCTTAGTTTATCTGAATATTCTTGAGATATGAAGATCCAGAGGTATGTTTGGGAGATGAAGGAAGGAAAGGATATTTTTCTTCTTACTTGAAAAAAAATTTGGCTTATGAATGGTTTTACAATGGTAAAGTATGTCTTTAAGACATATCTGGCTTTTACTACTCAGAATATTTTCTAAAATCTTTATAATTAAGGAATAACTTTAAGCAGAAAAATCCAAGATATCTTACAATAAGTTCTTTGACAACAGAGGCAGTGTTTACTTACCAAAGGTAGACTCATTATAGCAAACCAAAAGGTATAGATGATTAGTGAGATTGCAGTTTCTATGCCCTAAGAAGCTATTCTAGAACTTATTGCTTAAAATGTATTTTGTTGACCATCGTCATCATCACAGGGAAAAGCTTGTTAGAAATGCAGCACCTCAGGTGTCACTCCAGACCTATGGATTCATTTTCTCTATTTTAATAAGATCCCCAGATGATTCCGTGTGCATGTTACAGTTTGGGAAGCACTGCTCTTGAGGACAGCTTCGGTGCAAGTGAAAAGTGCTTTTCAGTCCACAAAGGGACTGGTTCCAATTAGAGGAGGCAGAAGAACTAATGACGTATGTGATACGAAGCTTTGGTTAACCTAGAATCTCAGATAGTTGTGTGAACAACTTTAGGGATGCTCTAATCTAATCCCCTCATTTTACAGATGAGGAAACTGAGACCCAGAATGGTTAAGTGACTTCCCCAGGGCCACAGCTCATAGTTGACAGAGTTGGAACTAGAACGCAGGCCTCCTGACTCTCAGTCCAGTGTTCTTTCCACTACACGATCCTGCCTTCCGTTTGATATAGAGGTTAGTGGATATGTGTCTGTTTGGACTAGGCTTCAAAGGACAAGAAGTGGAGTGAACACTGGCAAGAGCATTTATTTATCAGCTGATACAGAAGTTAGATTATTCTCCTGTTCAAGAGGTTTAGGACATACATCAGCACTAGTAAAGTTAAGAATTACTTTTCTTTTCTTTGGCTGGATGTTATAAAATATATGAAAGCTAATTTGGTTGTAGTTACTGTCTTCAGCCACAGGAAATATATAAAATGCGTATAAAGTAAAATATGAGGTAGAATGGTGATTTTTTTAAAAAATAATGGTGTCTGATAGCTTATCGTTGAAAACCACGTTTATGAAGAACTTCATACTTAAGCAAAAATGTATCATGTAGGATCATCTACACAAGTCCCTCTAGATCTTAAACTCAGTCGCTTTGTCATTATTACATTTTAATCAGACTAGATTTTTGTCAGCATATTTAACAAAAGCCTCTGAAAATGTTTTTAAAGTACATTTTTTCATCCTAAATACAGAAGAAAATAATATAATAGTCTTAAGAAAAGCCATACTTCAGGCAGCTGACTCATTTTGCTGCAGTTCTCGTAGCACTAACTTTTGACACAGAGATGTAAAAGTAGTGCTAGCACTGTGACTGTGTTCAGCTGATTAATAACAGGTTTCATTGCTACGCCTAAAACCGGATGATAGGAAGGAATTTTCACAAGTGCATTTCAGGTATATTGGACTTAATGTAGCTTATTTCTGCACTTCTTTCTCTCTTTTTCTATTGAAGAATATTTGACATAAAATATTTTATTAGCTTTAGGTGTACAAAATAATGATTCAGTGTTTATATACATTATGAAATGGTCACTTTAATAATTCTAGCTACCATCTGCCACAATCCAGAGTTGTTAAAATATTATTGATTCTCTGTGCTGTACATTATGTCTCCCTCCCCCATCTTAGTTATTTTATAACTGGAAGATTATATCTCTCAATCCCCTTCGCCTGTCTTGTCCATTGCCTTCACCTGCCTACTATTGTTAGGCAGTTACCAGTTTCTTTTCTGTATCTGAGTCTGTTTCTGTTTGTTTTTTTTTAGATTCTACATAAACGTGAAATCGTACCATGTGTTTTTCTCTATTTATTTCACTTAGCATTATATTCTTTAGGTCCATCCATGTTGTTGTAAATGGCAAGATTTTATTCTTTTATTATGGCTGAGTAATTGTGTGTGTGTCTGTGTGTCTGTGCTCACGGACACGTATACCACATCTTTATCTTTCATCCGTTGATGGACATTTAGGTTGCTTCTAGTCTTGGCTCTTGTACTGCAGTGAACACTGGGGTGCATATGTCTTTTTGGGATTAGTAGCTTTTTTGTGTTTGGTTAAAAATGTAGAAGCTTTTCAGATAAAAACCAGAATTACTGGATTTTTTGATAGTTCTACTTTTAATTTATTGAGGAGGAACCTGCATAGTGTCTGTACCAGTTTACACTCGCACCAACAAAGCAGGTGTTCCTTTTCCTCCACATCCTTGCCAATACTTGTAAATTTTTTTTTTTTTTTGATACTAGCCATTCTGTCAGATGTGAAGGAATTATCTCATTGTAGTCCTGATATGCGTTTCCCTGACTGTTGGTGAATATCTTTTCACATACCTGTTGGTCCTCTGAATATTGTCTTTGGGGAAATGTCTATTTTTGGTCCTCTTTCTATTTTTAGATTATATTACTTGTTTTTATAACACTTGAGTTATATGAGCTTTTTAATATATTTTAGATACTAACCTCTTATCAGATACAACATTTATGAATATTTTCTCCCATTCAGTAGGTTGTCATTTTATTTTGTTGATGTTTCCCTTTGCTGTGCAAAAGCTTCTTAGTTTGATGTAGTCCCATTTATTTATTTTTGCTTTTGTTGTCCTTACCTGAGGAGATAGATCCAAAAAAATACTGATGGAGAACTTACTGCCTATGTTTCCTTCTAGGAGTTGTATGGTTTTGGAATTAAATTTAAGTCTTTAATCCAGTTTATTTTTGGTATATGGCATAAGAAAGTGGTCCAGTTTCATTCTTTTGCATGCAGCTGTCCAGTTTTCTCAGCACTATTTACTGAAGAAACTCATTTTCCTATTGTATATTCTTACCATCTTTGTCATTGATTGATCAGCTAAGTGTTATTTCTGGGTTGTCTTTTATGTTCCATTGATCTGTGTTTCTTGTTTTTGCTCTAGTGCCATACTGTTTTGATTATATTACAATTTTATAGTATATTCTAAAATCCAGGGGTGTGATATTCCTAGCTTTGTTTTTCCTATTCAAGACTGCTTTGGCTTTTTGGCATCCTTTGTGCTCCCATATAAGTTTTATGATTGTTCTAGCTTAGTGAAAAATAACTATTTTTGATATGGATTGCATTGAATCTGTAGATGCTTTGGATAGTATGGACATCTTGGCAATATTAATTCTTCCAGTTCATGAGATTGGCATATCTTTACATTTATTTGTGTCATCTTCAGTTGTTCTCATCACTGTCTTATAGTTTTCAGGGTACAGGTCTTTTGAAATTTATTCCTAGGCATTTTACCCATTTTGTTGGGATTGTAAGTGGGATTGCATTCTTAATTTCTCTTTCTGATAGTTCGTCATTAGTATATAGAAATGCAATAGATTTCTATATTTTGATTTTGTGTTCTGCAATTTTACTGGATTAACTTATTAGTTCTAATAGTTTTTCAGAGGAGTCTTTAGGGTTTCCTATGTATAGTACCATGTCATCTGTGAATAGTGACAGTTTTACTTTCTTTACGATTTCAATGACCTTTTCTTGTCTTTGTTTTTTGGCTTGCTACAGTATATATTATTGATGGTACATGACAAGATAGGGCTTCCTAAAAGCCTCTTCTCTCTTCATGGTGTCCAGGATGAAAACTTTGTTGAGGTTGGGAGATTCTCAGTGTGTTGGGGGATGAGCTGAGGCAAGGACACCATAGCAGCTGAGGGCTTCTCTCTTCCTTTTGTGCTCTAGCTGTGGCCAGTTGTCCAGGGTGCTCTTATGTCTTGAAGGTCATGTGGACCCTGAGGTTGACCCCCCACAGTGTCATCATTGTTGACCCATTTGTTGTTCAGTAGCATGTCAAGTCTTCATGTATTTGTTTCTTAGAGTTTTTTTCTAGTAACTGATTTCTGGTTTCAAACCGTTATGGTTAGAAAAGATGTTTGATATATTTCATTCTTTCTAAATTTACTGAGTCTTATTTTGTGGCCTAATGTGATCTCTCCTGGAGAATGTTTCATGTGTACTTGAGAAGATGTGTGTTCTGCTGTTTTGGGATGGAATGTTCTATGTATGTCTGTTACATTCATGTGGTCTAATTTGTTAAGGCTGATGTTTCCTTATTAATATTTTATCTAGATAATCTAGCAATTAATGTAAGCAGGTATTTTAAAGCCCCCTACTATTACTGATTGCTGTCATTTTTCCCCCTAATTTGTCTATTAATAGTCATTTTATATATTTAGGTACTTTATATATTGAGGTATTTTGGGTGCACAAGTATTTACAAGTGTTTTATGTTTTTGTTGAATTGATCCCATCATTACGTAATGTTCTTTTTTTGTCTCTTGTTACAGTTTTTGTTTTAAAGCCTGTTTTGTGTGATATAATTAATGCTACCCCCAGTTTCTTTTCATTTCCATTTGCCTGGAAATTTCTTTTTCCAACCCTTCATTTTCAGTGAATGTACCTTCAGAGTTCAAGTGAGTCTATTGATGGGTCTTGGTTTTTTAATTCCTCTGTGTGTTATGATTGGAGAGTTTAGCCCATTTATATTTAAAGTAATTGTTGATAGTATGTATTTATTGCCATTTTGTTCATTGTTTCCTTGTTGTTTTTGTGCTTCTTCTCTATTTCTTTTTCTTCTCCTGGTCTTTTCCCTTGTGATTTGATGACTTACTTTAGTGTTTTGTTTGGATTATTTTCTGTTTATTTTTTGTGTATCTGTTATAGGACTTTGGTTTTTGGTTACCCTGGGACTCATGTATAACAATCTGTGTATATGTAGCAGATTATTTTAAGTTGGTAATTGCTAAAGTTCAAACACATTCTGAAAGCACTATATTTTTATTCCCTTCACCCACATTTTATGTTTCTGATGTCATGTTTTACATCTTTTTATTTGTGTATCTGTTAAGTAGTTATTATAAATATAGTTGACTTTATTACTCTTGTCTTATAACCTTCATACTAGCTTTATTAGTGGTTGATCAGCAACCCTTACCATATGTTTTCTTTTATCAGTGAAATTTTTTTCTATCTCATATTTTCTTCTTTCTAGTTATGGTCTTTTCCCATGAAGTAGTCCCTCTAATATTTCTTGTGAAACCCGTTTAGTAGTGATGAACTCCTATAGCTCTTGTTTATTTGGGAATTCTTCAGTTCTTCAGTTCTGAATGATAATCTTGTCTGGTAGAGTATCCTTGGTTGTAAATTTCTTCCTTTTTGCACACTGAATATAATGTCTGCACTATCTTCTTGACTGATAGAAATTCCTTTACAGACCACAAAAGATCAATATGTCTAATTTGTGAAATTGACCAAACTGAAAAAAATATCATATGCAATTGAAAAGGTTGTTCTGAGGAAGCATACCTTTAATTTTCAGAGATGTGTGACATTATACGCAACTAATGAATCATTGAACACTACATCAGAAACTAATGATGTACTATATGTTGAGTAATTGAACATAAAAACAAACAAACAAAAAAACCAAAACACACACACGCACACACAAAATTAGTATCGAAAGAAGATTCCACATAGAGATGGATCAGAATTGAGAGGGCTTAAAGTTTCATTTAGTGAAGTACAAAAAGCTTTTTAACGTCCATTTTTCTAAAAAATGCTTTGTGTGTTTGTTTGACAGTATAAAATTCAATAATGTATATACAGAAGTATATATGTAGAACTATATATATATATCTAGAACTGTATTTTACTGTAACATTGAATGTTTTCCCTTTCATTTATTCAACAGTTACTTCTTGATTGCTAGTAATCCGTCCATATTTAGGCACTCATATTCTCAGGGACCATATAGCATGGTTATGGAGACAGATCTAAGCAGATAATTTTAATAGAAGCTGAGATTTATTGACTGTTACTATGTGCCAGGCTCTGTTCTATGTGCTGTACATGTGTTAATTTGAATATTGTTTAGAATTCCATTTATGTTGTTCTTGGTTAGTTTGGGTATTCTAATATGCATTTGTAAGTGTTCACATTCTGAGTTTGTACTGTATTCATGTAAAATGTAGAAACTTTGCAACTGTTTAGGGTTTATTTACTCTTCATCATCCTTTATGCAATAATTATCATACATATGATACATTACTTCCATGTACATTATAAATCCCAGGAGAAAATGTTAAACTTTTTGTTTTAAACCATAAGCGGTGGCCCCCATCCTATCTAAGTTTGGAAGCTACATGTTGATTTAATCTTTTCAAATCCTACCATAGGTAGGTGCTATCATTACCCTCATTTTATAGATGGGAGACTTAAGGCACAAAGAGGTTAAGGTACCCCAGGTTGTAATTAGAACCTGGTAGATTTAGGATTTGAGCCCATGTTTGCCTGGCTCCACAATTTACATTATTAACTTCTCACAGCGTAGTAACTTGTTAAAAGAACCATCAGAGGAACACAGGAGGAAATCCTTAATTTAGGGGTTTAGAAAACTTCATGGAGAAAGTGATTATGTTAGCTGTTGACTGGTGAGTTAAAACTCTTCTCCTTTCAAATTAGAGACTGCTCCAGTTTGGATTATTTTCTGCTTCAGGAGTCTGTGGTAGATTGATAAGAGGGTCTTGCAAGTTTTTAGATTAAGTGGAGGTAGGAAAATTTGAGGACAGTCCTCAAATACTGTTTTCCTTTTTTGTGTGTGTTAGGCTGCAGAACAAGCAAAAGCAAGCCCAGCCTTGGTTGCCAAAGATCCTGGTACTGTGGCTAACAAAAAAGAAGAAGAAGATTTAGCAAAAGGTATGTTTTTAAGTGCCGGGTACTAGAAAAGTGGGAAGAAAATGGGTCCCTTACTTAATATTATTTTCCTGAGATATTTTAAAGTGAAAGATATAGGGCTTTACAGCTAACACTGAAATCTACTTTGTGCCCCTTTACAGTATCAAATAATACTTTTTTGAGACAACTACTATTCATTTATGTCCTTTCAATCTATTTTGAAATACTATTTTTATTACACTGTATATCCATAAATAATACCAATACTTTTATGTGTCCAACAAATTCTTTTTTCATAAAGAATTATACATACCATTTACAGTTTTTTTAATGTGCACTAAGATCTATTCATAATAGAACACATAAATCAAGTTCACTTGTTTTAACTATTGTATAATACTCCAGTGTATTAATAAATATATACTGTAGTTTATCCGTCCTGCTACTGATGGATATTTGGGTTTTCTGGGGTTTTTTGTTTGTCTTTTGTTTTGTTTTTTACTATAGTAAGTAGGCTGCATTGAGTATTCTTGTGAATATTTTCTTTGTGTGTTTTTGTGTGTGGGTATCTTATGTGACGGTAACCAGTATTTTTGGCTCATGCGGGAGGTACATCTTCAACTTTTCTAGATAGTTTATTTCCTCTGCCACTAGCAGTGTATGAAAGTTACTAGTATTTTTAATCTCCTGAAAATATTTGGTATTTGAGTTTGATTTTTGTGATTCTGATAGGTTGGATATAATATCCATTTATCTTGACTTTTATTTCCTTGATTACTAGTGAGCCTTGGTCCTTTTTTGTATGTTTATTAGCTGTTCTGATTGTCTCTCTTTTTATTGAGGGTTTTTTATTTTTAAGATGATATAGAAAGTTTAATTTTGGATGTTAAACCTTTGCCGATTATTATTATTTTTAATATTTTATTTATTAGAGAGAGTGAGAGAGCACTAGAGAGAGGACAGTCAGAGGAAGAAGCAGATTCCCCTCTGAGCTGGGAGCCTGATATGGGCTCGATCCTGGGACTCCAGGATCATGAGTTGAGCCAAAGACAGTCGCTTAACTGACTGAGCCACCCAGGCACTCTTGCCTGTTATTTCTATTGTCAATATCTACTTTTGACTTTTGGGTTTTTTTTTTTTTTTTTAAGATTATTTATTTATTTATTTGACACACACAGAGAGAGATCACAAGTAGGCAGAAATAGGCAGAGAGGCAGGCAGAGAGAGAGGGAGAAGCAGGCTCCCCGCTGAGCAGGAGCCCGATGTGGGGCTCGATACCAGGACCCTGGCATCATGACCTGAGCCAAAGGCAGAGGCTTAACCCACTGAGCCACCCAGGTGCCCCTGATTTTTGGCTTTTACTTTTGACTTTGATAATGGTATATTTTATCTGATAGAAGTTTTAAATTTTGATGTCAAAATTTTTGCTTTTTTGTTATGATTTTTGCTTTTTTTACATCTTAAAATATTTTCCCCTACTCCCCAAATCCTCAAAGGTACTTTCCTGTATTTTCGTATGATAGTTTTAAAGTTTTCTTTTTCCTATTAGATCTTTTATCAATGTAGATCAGAGATGAAGGGGGTTATGGTTTGAGTTGAAAGCGGGGTAATCCGTCTGTTCCGATTATATTGCAGAGCCTGAGTGACACATGGTGATGGCCTGCATGAGGGGAGGAGTGGAAGCGCCAGAAGAAACACGTTTGAGGGCTGCCTGGGTGGGCTCAGTTGGTTAAGCATCCAATTCTTGAGTTTCGCGCAGGTCATGATCTCAGGGTTGTGAGATCTAGCCCTACCTCGGGCTCCCCGCTGAGTGTGGAGTCTGCTTAAGATTCTGTCTTCCTTCTCCCCTTCCCCCCTACCCAGAAAGAAAGAGATATACTTGAAATCTCTTTGGGGGTAATTTGTTAGGTGAAACTTCATTCTAGTTATTTCCAAGTTCCACTTCTTGGACTGATCACATAAGAATTAACGTTGAAGCTGTAAAGTACAGATTCCCGGATACTACCTTTGACACTCTGATTTATTAAATCTTCATTGAGATATGGGACTCTTGACTTCCCTAGTGATTTTGATTATCATTTTGGGAACAGAAGCTGTAGAAGTATATTGAAAATATGGAAGAAGATTTAAAATATCTGCAGCTAAATAAAAAAAGTGAATCTAAGATAATTATATCTTTTTAGTATGCAGAATAATTTAAATTTTATCCATTCAGTAGAAATAGTCATTATGCAGGGCACCTGGCTGGCTCAGTCAGTAGAACATGTGAATTTGGATCTTGGGGTTATGAGTTCAAGCCTTATGTTGGGTGTAGAGATTACATAAAAAAAACTCTTAAAAAAATAGTAATTGGGGCACCTGGATGGCTTAGTGGGTTAAGCCTCTGCTTTCGGCTCAGGTCATGGTCTCAGGCTTCTGGAATCAAGCCCCGCATCAGGCTCTCTGCTTAGCAGGGAGCCTGTTTCCTCTCTCTCTATGTCTGCCTCTCTGCCTACTTGTGATCTCTCTCTGTTAAATAAAATCTTTAAAAAAAATAGTAATTATTCTGTTCAACTTTTTTCGTTTATTCTTTAAACTTTCAGTTGTGAATGAATGAATAAAATTCATGAAATCATTTTTATTCATTATGTCAAGATATGTCCTACTTCCCAACTTCACATTTAAAAGAATACATTTTACCTTCAGATACCTTTTTTTAACTTCTTTGGATTGTTGGATATATTAACATTTTGAGTCTTTTTAACTCATTCTTTTCCAGCTATTGAGTTGTCTTTGAAGGAACAAAGGCAGCAGTCAACCACCCTTTCTACTTTATACCCAAGCACATCCAATCTCTTAACTAACCACCAACATGAAGGCCGAAAAGTTCGTGCCATATATGACTTTGAAGCTGCTGAAGATAATGAACTTACTTTTAAAGCTGGAGAAATAATTACAGTTCTTGATGACAGGTGATGGATAATATCAAATTGATATTAAGTTGACATTCATATGAAAATATATAACATATTACTTCTGTGTTTCATATTATTCCTGTTGAATGCCATTACCAAAGGTAATAAGAATAAATATTGTAGATATTTTCTCTGTGTGACAGTTTTTTTACTTTGCTTATGTCATATTGTCTGGATTCTTTTTTGTAGTTTAATTTTTTTTCTTATCTCTTATTTAAATAGTTTTTATTTGTTTTGGAGGCCTAGTTTATTCATTTTTGTTCCATCTAATAATATAAATTATTAAATTAGTAAGGTTATGATTTTAGAAAATATGCCAAATATGTGTTGGTATGTATGGAATTTATTAGAAATGCATAATACATTGAACTTATTTATACAAAAAATAGTATATCCATGGGTCAAATTCATTTTACATGGAATTATATAAATTTATGTTGTTATGGGAGGTGATTCAGTACCTCTGGTTTTTTGTTTTTTAATTTAAATTCAATTAATTAACATACAGTATATTATTAGTTTCAGAGGTAGAGGTCAGTGATTCATCTGTCTTACACAGTACCTAGTGCTCATTATATCGTGTGCCCTTTTTAATGTCCATCACCCAGTTGCTCTATCCTCTGCCTTCCTCTCCTCCAGTAACCCTCAGTTTGTTTCCTATAAGTACGTCTGGGTTTTGACTAGAGTTTTATGTTTACTCAAATTTGTTACTGATGATTGTTACTGATAATGAAGTACTAAGATTTGCAAGTGGTTTTAAAAAATAAATAAATAAAAATTTAGGTTGTAGTGTAACACATTATCTTGAGTAAAAGAAAAGTTAAGTTTGAGCTGTTTAGCTGAAAATTGCAGAAAACCTTGATCATTGATTCATTCAAAAAGTGTTCATTGAGAGCTTGGTAGCTTTCCTTATACTAGGCACCAAAGATACAGTGGTGAAGCATGGGATGTATCTGAGTGTATGTTCATTGTGAACGTTTGTGCTATAAACAGTGTCATCTATCATCTTGTTTCTCGTGGGAGAAAAAAGGTGCTAGTGTGTACAAGAGAGCGCAAAATTTAGGGATGGATCTGAATTAAGAGCCTACTATTACCTTATTACAAAGGAGTCTTGCAGGGAGCCCGTGAACTACCTGAAGTTGAAGAGTTCTCTGTTTTGGTGAGCAGAGTTCAGAGCCTTGTATTATATCCTCAAAGCATTCACCAGCCTTCCAAAAGATAAAGAGCTGTGTGTTTAACATTCTTTATCTTCTCTGAGGCTTCATCTTCTATTCGTAATAATGGTACATTCATTTCTTCCCTCCTTAGATTGTTGGGGGATTCAAATCTAGTAAGAATGCAGGTTAAACACTATAAAAGGTAGAGATTTATAGAGATAAAAATCTTTATTATAATCAAGATTTTCTTTTTTGCTCCTCATTAGTGATCCCAACTGGTGGAAAGGTGAAACCCATCAAGGCATGGGGCTATTTCCCTCTAATTTTGTAACTGCTGATCTTACTGCTGAACCAGAAATGAGTAAGTATTTTCCAGTCTGTAAGTGAATGATAATCCACAACTGTCTTCTTTTTTTTTTAATTTTATTTTTTTTCAGTGTTCCAAAATTCATTGTTTATGCATCACAGCTATTGCTCCATGCAATATGTGCTCTCCATAATACCCACCAGCAGGCTCACCCATCCCTTACCCCCCTCCCTTCCAAAACCCTCAGTTTGTTTCTCAGAGTCCACAGTCTCTCATGGTTTGTCTCCCCCTCCAATTTCCCCTAACTCACTTCTCCTCTCCATCTCCCAATGTCCTCCGTGTTATTCCTTATACTCCACAAGTAAGTGAAATCATATGATAATTGACTCTCTCTGCCTGACTTATTGCACTCAGCATAATCTCTTCCAGTCCCATCCATGTTGATCCAAAAATTGGGTATTCATCCTTTCTAATGGAGGCATAATACTCCATTGTATATATGGACCATATCTTCTTTATCCATTCGTCTGTTGAAGGGCATCTTGGCTCTTTCCACAGTTTGGCGACTGTGGCCATTGCTGCTATGAATATTGGGGTGCTTTTCACTATATCTGTATCTTTGGGGTAAATACCCAGTAGTACAATTGCAGGGTCATAGGGTAGCTCTATTTTTAATTTCTTAAGGAATCTCCATACTGTTTTCCAAAGTGGCTGTACCAGCTTGCATTCCCACCAACAGTATCAGAGGGTTCCCCTTTCTCCACATCCTGTCCAACATTTGTTTACTATCTTGTTAATTTGGGCCATTCTGCTGGTGTAAGGTGGTATCTAAGTGTGGTTTTGATTTGAATCTCCCTGATGGCTAATGATGATGAACATTTTTTCATGTGTCTATTAGCCATTTGTATGTCTTCTTTGGAGAAGTGTCTGTTCAAGTCTTCTGCCCATTTTTTGATATGATTATCTGTTTTGTGTGTATTGAGTTTGAGGAGTTCTTTATAGATCTTGGATATCAGCCCTTTGTAGTGTCACTTGCGAATATCTTCTCCCATTTCGTTTTTGTTTTGTTGACTGTTTTTGTTTTGTTGACTGTTTCCTTTGCTGTGCAAAAGCTTTTGATCTTGATGAAGTCCCAAAAGTTCATATTTGCTTTTGTTTTCTTTGCCCTTGGGGACATGTCTTAAAAGAAGTTTCTGTGGCTGATGTGGAAGAGGTTACTGCCTATATTCTCCTCTAGGATTTTGATAATTCCTGCCTCACATTGAGGTCTTTTATCCATTTTGAGTTTATCTTTGTGTATGATGTAAGAGAGTGGTCAAGTTTCATTTTTCTGTGCATAGCTGTCCAATTTTCCCAGTACCCTTTATTGAAGAGACTTTTTTCCACTGTAAATTTTTTCCTGCTTTGTTGAAGATTAGTTGACCATAGAGTTGAGGGTCCATATCTGGGCTCTCTATCTGTTCCTCTGGTCTATGTGTCTGTTTTTGTGTCGGTATCATGCTGTCTTGGTGATCACAGCTTTGTAGTAAAGCTTGAAATCAGGCAACGTGATGCTCCCAGCTTTGTTTTTCTTTTTCAACATTTCCTTAGCAATTTGGGGTCTCTTTTGGTTCCGTACAAATTTTAGGATTGTTTGTTCCTGCTCTTTGAAAAATGCCAATGAAATTTTGGTCAGGATGGCATTGAAAGTATAGATTGCTCTAGGCAGTATAGACATTTTAACAATGTTTATTCTTCCGATCCATGATCATGGAACGCTCTTCCATCTTTTTGTGTCTTCTTCAATTTCTTTCATGAGTGTTTTGTAGTTCCTCGAGTACAAATCCTTTACCTCTTGGGTTAGGTTTATTCCCAGGTATCTTATGGTTCTTGGTGCTTTAGTAAATGGAATTGATTCTCTAATTTCCCTTTCTATATTTTCATTGTTAGTGTATAAGAAGGCAACTGATTTCTGTACATTGATTTTGTATCCTGCCACATTACTGAATTGCTGTATGAGTTCTAGTAGTTTGGAGGTGGAGACTTTGGGTTTTCCATATAAAGTATCATGTCATCTGTGAAGACAGCGAGTTTGACTTCTTCATTGCCAGTACCATTGAATACCTTTTATTTCTTTTTGTTGTCTGATTGCTGTTGCTAGGGCTTCTGAGTACTATGTTGAACAACAGTGGCGAGAGTGGACATCCTTGTCATGTCCCTGATCTCAAAGGGACGGCTGTCAGCTTTTCCCCATTGAGGATGATATTCGCTGTGGGTTTTTCATAGATAGATTTTATGAAGTTGAGGAATGTTCCCTCTCTCTGTATACTTTGAATCGTTTTAATCAGGAACAGATGCTTTATCTTGTCAGATGCTTTTTATGCATCAATTGAGAGGACCATGTGGTTCTTCTCTCTTCTCTTATTGATTTGTTCTATCACATTGATTGATTTGCGAATGTTGAGCCACACTTATATCCCGTGAATGAATCCACCTGGTCATGGTGGATAATCTTTTTAATGTACTGTTGGATCCGATTAACTAGGATCTTGTTGAGAATCTTAGCATCCATATTCATCAGGGATATTGGTCTGAAATTCTCCTTGTTGGTGGGGTCTTTGCCTGGTTTGGGGATCAGGGTAATGCTGGCTTCATAAAAAGAGTGTAGAAGTTTCCCTTCTATTTCTATTTTTTGAAACAGCTTCAGGAGAATAGATACTATTTCTACTTTGAATGTTTGGTACAATTTTCCAGGGAATCCGTCTGGTCTTGGGCTCTTGATTTTTGGGAGGTTTCTGATCACTGCTTTAATCTTGTTACTAGATATTGGTCTATTTAGGTTGTCAGTTTCTTCCTGATTCAGTTTTGGAAATTTATAGGTTTCCAGGAATGCATCCATTTCTTCTAGGTTGCTTAACTTAGTGGCATATAACTGTTGATAATAATTTCTTTTCTTTCTTTTTCTTTTTTTTAAAGATTTTGTTTATTTATTTGATGGATAGAGATCACAAGTAGGCAGGGAGGCAGCCAGAAATAGAGGGGGAAGCAGGCTCCCTGCTGAGCAGAGAGCTGGATGCAGGGCTTGGTCCCAGGACCCTGAGATCATGACCTGAGCCGAAGGCAGAGGCTTAACCCATTGAGCCACCCAAGATAATAATTTCTGATGATTGTTTCTATTTCCTTGGTATTAGTTGTGATCTCTCCCTTTTCACTCATAATTTTATTAATTTGGGTCCTCTCTTCTTTTGGATTAGTTTGGCCAATGGTTTATCGATCTTACTGATTCTTTCAAGAAACCAGCTTCTAGTTTCCTTGATGTGTTCTCCTGTATCTCTAGTTTCTATCTCATTGATCTCTGCTCTAATCTTAATTATTTCCCTTCTTGTATGTGGGGTTGGCTTAATTTGTTGTTGATTCTCCAGTTCTTTAAGGTGTAAAGAGAACTGGTGTATTCTAGAATTTTCAATTTTTTTTGAGGGAGGCTTGGTTGGCTATGTATTTCCCCCTTAGGACTGCCTTTGCCGTATCCCATAGGTTTTGGCCCAAAGTGTCTTCATTCTCATTGGTTTCCGTGAATTGTTTAAGTTCTTTGATTTTCTGCTTGATCCAAACATTCTTAAGCAGGTGGTCTTTGGCTTCCAAGTGTTTGAATTCCTTCCAAAGTTTTTCTTGTGGTTGAGTTCCAGTTTCAAAGCATTGTGGTCTGAGAATATGCAGGGAATAATCTCAGTCTTTTGGTATCGGTTGAGCCCTGATTTGTGACCCAGTATGTCATCTATTCTGAAGAAAGTTCTATGTGTGCTTGAGAAGAATCAGTATTCTGTTTTTTTAGCGTGGAATGTTCGGTATATATCTATGAGGTCCACCTGGTCCAATGTGTCATTCAATGCACTTGTTTCTTTATTGATTTTCTATTTGAATGATCTGTCTATTACTGAGAGTGGCATGTTAAGATCCCCTACTATTAATGTATTCATATCAGTATGACTCTTTATCTCAATTAACAGTTGTCTTATGTAGTGACAGCATGGAATCGATTATGGCAGAAGTGAAAACTTAGGGCAGAAGTGAAAACGGCTGGAGAGGAAGTTAAAAAGGCTGTCAGTGAGATCCATTCTAATCTAAATACTCCAACAGCTAGGGAAACCGAGGCAGAAGATAGAATTAGTGATCTAGAGGACAAACTGATAAGAAAGAAAGGATTAGGAGGAGGCCTGGAACAAACAGCTTAGAAGCCATGAAAACAGATTTAGGGAAATAAATGACGCCATGAAACGTTCCAGCATCAGAATTATTGGGATCCCCGGGGGGAGGAGAAAGAAAGAAGACTGGAAGATAGAGATGAACAAATTCTCCATGAAAATTTTCCCAATCTGGGGAATAGAACCAGCGTTCATGTCCTACAGGTAGAAAGAACGTCCCCCAAGATCAACAAATCTAGAAAGACCTTGAAGCCCTTGATTGTAAGACTGACGGATCATAATTTTAGACAAGAGCTTTTGAGAGCAGCTAGGGGGAAGAGATTCCTTACATACAGAGTTAGTTCCATCATAATAATGTCACACCCGTCCACAGAAGTCTGGCAAGCCAAAAAGGGCTGGCAAGACATATTCAGACACTAAATGAGAAGAACATGCAGCCAACAATACTTTATCCAGCAAGGCTGACATTCAAAATGGATATAGAGATAAAGACTTTCCAAGACCAGCAAGATTTAAAAGAGTATGTGACCACCAAGCTGGCACTACGAGAAATATTAAGGTGGGGAGGGTTCTATAAAATGAGAAAGAACCCAAGAGTGTCATAGAATAGAAATTTACAGAGACAATCTATAGAAACAAGAACTTTACAGACAACATGATGTCAATAAAAGCGTATCTTTCAATAATCTTTCAACGTGAATGGTCTAAACGCTCCCATAAAACGGCACAGGCTTGCAGATTGGATAAAAGGACAGGACCCATCCATATGTTGTCTACAAGGGACCAATTTGGAACGTAAGGATACATCCAGACTGAAAGTGAAGGGATGGAGAAGCATCTTTCATCACAGTGGGCCTCAAAAGAAAGCTGGGGTAGCAATTCTCATATCAGATAAATTAGATTTTAAACTAAAGACTGTAGTCAGAGATAACAGAAGGATACTACATCATTCTTAAAGGGTCTACCCACCAAGAAGATCTAACAATTGTTAATATTTATGCCCACAACTGTCTTCTTAATAAAAGAGTAAAAATTCAGCTTCATGGAAAGTTAAAAGCTGAGCTGGGACTCATTAATTCCTCCAAGGTGTTAATTAAGAACACAGCTTGTGTGCTTGCTTTGAGAGCATGTATACCAACACCAGCCCCAAACTTGGAAGCAGGGGCCTGTAAGCAATATAATGGCTTTCCTGAGCCCCCATGTTAGATACTCAGACGGGTCCATAACTAATCATGTGAATACCTTTTTGTTTGTGCTACTAGGGGAAATAAACTAGAAAGTTTCCAAGGAGGAAATGTGATGTTACTGGCAGTCATAATAGTTGCAGGAGATGTAACTACTGGTAACTTAGAAAAATGTTGGTAGGTAATTCACTGCATTTGTACGTAGTACTATAATTCACTGATCTACATAATGATGAGTCTGAGACTTCAAGATTAAGTCCTAGTCTCCCTCTGTTTAAGGAAACAAATACATTCTAGTGTAGAAAGATTTCCATTAGTGGTTGAAAGGTTTAGAATTTTAAGACTTTGTGTATATAAGTTGGTAAGCTGTAGTTATGTGGCAAAATATCTCACCTCATCTCATCTTTCTATAAAGCCAGTAGAAGGGATCAAAGAGAGTCATAAGCCATAGGATGCTTGGGGTTTTTTTTTAGTTTACAAGAATTTTAAGAAAGGATCTCTGTCTCATAGTCATCTTTTCATTTCTGACAGCATGTAGTACTGAATCTTAATCAAAATACATACTATCTAAACATTTATATGATAAATAAGTATGTGTGTGTATATATACACATACGTGTGTGTTTACATATATATATACACACATATATATATGTAAAGATATATATAAAAGGTAAACTTTCCTTGAATAATAACACTTCTGTTTCAGGAGAAGACTTTAACAAGTCGGACATTACTTTTATCATTGATGAAACAAAGCTGTCTCCTAATTACTGCCAAGTTGTCTCATGTCATTTTATAAACAATTTATGACAGAGACTGATTCCTGATACCCATTCTATTAATGGAGTTCTTTTTTTGTTAGAACTCAAAAAATATGTTGTAGAACCCTTTTTAAATGGCAGTGTATTGTGTGCCAACTTTTTAACCTGGGCTTATGGTGGTGATTTTTTTTTTTTTTTTAGGTTTTGATTTTTTTGTTCTTGTTTTGTCCTCATTAAGCTGTTGGAAAATAGGGAATTGTCTTGGACTTCTGTTCAAGATGAAACCCAAGATCTCATATGGACCATGTAGCCAACTCATCTTTTTCTCTACCATATAGCAGTGCAGCTTTGAAATGAGTATTCTAGCTCGTCTTCCTGTGTTTCATTGTGGACTACTGAAGAGAAGAGCAGGAACAGCAGAGCTTCTGTAATGGAATTGTAGTTCTTGAGCTTGGGAAAGGAGTGTTAGCATGGTCTTCTTAGCATTCTTCTTTTTTTCTTTTTTTTTTAAGATTTTATTTATTTATTTAAAAGAGAGAGAGAGATCATGAGAGAGGGGGAGGGTCAGAGGTAGAATCAGACTCCCAACTGAGCCCAGGAGCCTGATGTGGGGCTCCATCCTGGAGCCATGTGGGGGCTCCATCCTGGGACTCTGGGATCCTGACCTGAGCCAAAGGCAAATGCTTAATTGACTGGGCCACCCAGGCGCCCCTTCGTATCATTATTCTTCATGAGGAAACAAGCCCACTTTAATGTCCTGTATAAGTACCTGCCCTGCTTAGCTTGTTTTTCTTTAGGAAGTGTAGGAAGATATTGTAAAAATATTTATTTTGTGTCCATACATACACACATACATACTTGCACGCACGCACACATATTTGGTAATAGTATTAGTGCCTACGAGGAAAAGCACTGAAAACTTGTGCGTGGTCAGCTATTAAGATGTCTAGTCTACCATGTGTTCTCTTATGGGTAGCAGCCAATGTGGTGCTTTCTCAGCTCTCTACTTGCTAAATAGCTCAAGATATGAAAAGCAGAATTATCTCTAGCACATGTCTCTTTTACCCCCATAGGAAAATAAAATCAGCTAAAACGTGTGCGTGTATAGAATTTTGCTTTATGGTGACTTGAATGGGATGAATGGAAATTAAATTATCTACATTTTATACAGAAATTTACAGCACAAAATACATAAGTGGTGTGAGTTCCTGTTCTCAGAGTGAAAAATCATCGGCCGGATTCCAGTATGTGGGCTGGTAGTGCCAGATAGGTTGGTATTTAAATCCAGGTTGTGTCATATATTAGCTTTCTCCTGTGCAAGCATTTTTAATATTACTGTGCTGCTGTTAACATCATTTTTAAAATGGGTGTATCTCATAAGATGGCAGAAGAGATTCATTTGGGAGGAAATGTAATATTCTATTATGCACATTTAATAGTTCAATTAATATATTTCCTTTCCCTAATTCTGCTCTGTTCCCAAACCCTGTTTCATCTTGATTCTTAATATTTTTGTGAGTACTGATTAACCACATTGGTACAGGATGAGAAATGCAGAAAGGAAGTTCATTCCTTTAAAAAGTCATATGGGCCTCTCAGTGTGTTGGGGGAGATGGTTAATTGCTCTATTAATCATAACCTTGTATTTACTAGTTAATGATATATTGAATAGTTTTTAAGGATTGCTTTGTTAAGCAAGAGAAATATGTGCTTCTGGCCAGTGATTTGCAGATCCCTTCATAACCACATTTTTATTTCAAAGAATAATGTAACTAAAAAATGCAGGCTGATTTCATGGATCACTGCCCATACCACTTGTAAAGTTCACTGACCTGGATGTCACTTTCCTAGTAAAAAGTCTAAGTGGCTTGTCAGAGAATGTATAGCTGACTTTCCATTTCACTACATTGAAATAGCATGGTCTTTCAAATGAGATTTTTCTTTGAAAGGACTGGTAATTTAAAAGAGGACTTATTTTAATTTGTAGAGTTCATTTATGACCTTGTAAAACTTTACTTTTTGTCCCCTGATTTGCTGAACTCTCATATGTAGTAGGTAATTAATCTTTGTTTCAGAAATATACCTCTTATTTTACTGAAGTATCTTTTATGGAAAATGTAAAATCTTAAGATGGAAAAATCTTCACAGGATTCCATAAAATAATGTTCTCTCATTATTGCCTAAATATATAGTCTAATTATTCCTTAAATTGAGTCTCTCAGATTGAAGGGAATAAAAGAAGAATCCAAATTCTCTCACGCAGTTTAAAGTGCTTTAAAATAGAATTTTATTATAAGGAAAAAATAAATATTACATGTTTTATAGTTAAAACGGAGAAGAAGATGGTACAATTTAGTGATGATGTTCAAGTGGAAACAATAGAGCCGGAACCAGAGCAAGCCTTTATTGATGAAGTAAGTGATTTCCTCCGCGAGAGTTGGTATTCAATACTTGGTATTGAAGTTTAAGTGTTGTTATTGTCATCTTTAAAAAAAAAATTGCTTGATTAATGCATGTATTTTATGTTATAAAATTCCAGCAATATAGACAAAGCGAAGATTGTCCTTGAAACTCTCTAGTCTCATTCTGTACCTCATCATTAAAAATCCTGCTTAATATTCCATAGAATGGGTTCATATGATTTAATTATTTTGCTATTGGAGTTTGGGTTTTTTGCAGTTTTTTGTATTTTTTTTTAATTATTGCAAATACAATTGTAGTGAAATTTTTTTAAAAGATTTTATTTATTTATTTGACAAAGCAGGAGAGTACAAGAGTACAAGCAGAGGGAACAAGAGGAAGAGGATGAGGGAGAAGCAGGACCCTCTGCTGAGCAGGGAGCCCCAATGTGGGGCTCCATCCCTGGGATTATGACCTGAGCTGAAGGCAGATACTAATGACTAAGCTACCCAGGCGACCCTGTAGTAAAATTTTTTTGGACAAAATGTATTTAATAGACTATGTGACTGTCTTATTTGCAATGATCAGTACTTAATGCTCTGGAAATTACATCGTTTTTAACATTTTAAACTTAGGAAAAATGATGTGTCCTCTTTAAAATATTTGAAGGGATTTTGTAGGTTTTTAGCCTTCTTTGGGAGGAGCCATAAACAGAAAATTTGAAGAGTACTCTTAGTGAAAGAGACTGTCGAAGACTGTGCTGAAAGTCAGGGAATCTGACTGGATCTGGGAAAGTTTTGTTTAGCCAATTTTATAGCATAAGAAAATGTGTTTAGAGTCAGCCTCGTGGTCTGTATAGATAGCTCATTTCTTTGATATTAGATAATTTCAAATAGAGTGTAATATTTTATAAACAAAACAAAAAGTAACCACATGTTAGTTAACTCTTTCATGTTAGCTCCACTTCCCTCCCTTTTTTTCCTTTGCTATAGGCATACTTTTCTGACACATGCCTTCTTTTCTAGGCTACTTAAAATGGAAATTATGAATCTTTTACATTGAAACATAGTATCTATTTTAAGATATAAAATTCTTTTGACTTTGGAAGAGTTTTTTTTATATACTTGTGTCGCTTTTACTGTCCAGTGATTAGTTCATCTCTCAAGGTCTTCTTTGCAGAAACAGTTTTTGTTTTGATTTAAATGACTATATAAAATTGGTAGTCTATTTTACATTTACCTAATGTACCTGTGTTTAGTAACATAACCATGTAAAAACCGTGCATGGAGAAAACTTTGTTATTATTATAGATTATTCTTTGGTACTCAGTATTCTTTGGAGATCAGTATTTTGATTCTTAAAAAGGTACATATTAAGTACATATATACTTGTGTAATATATAGGTGTATTTATATAATGATATAGGTGTATTTATAAATTTATATACAATTGGTTTTTATAAGGAAAGATTCTGCAATTGATCTGAGTCCTTACTTTGAGATGCCTTCCAGCCTTCTCACATAGGAAAATAGAGAAACCACCAATCTTCCTCCTTTTATGACAGACTGAAATATTGGTGGGAAGAAAATGTAGAATAAAATCTTATGGCCCTACTTAGAAGGGGAAGAGCTGTAATATAGCTGAGCTATGCCTTGCTAAAACAGCTGCTGTATTCACCATGGTGGAGAAGTAATAATGAGTTGTTAGTCATAAGCAATGCCATCTTAAGAGAGAAGTTACCAAGGCTACAGCTGCTCCAAAACAAAATGACAGAAATCCACAGCATGACATAACAGATTGAAGAACTCACACGTTGTAAGTTTAAATATGGCTCTATTTCTTCTCATTTAAGAGAGTCTCTGTTAGCAGTTTCAAAAGTAAGTAGGAAGAGCTTTCAAAGCTCTGACTTTACATGGTGCTAAAGAGAACACAGATACTAAATATGTAAAAGCAAAATTGGAGTCTCCATATGAATCCAAAATTTCTCCATCCTTTATCTAATTAATGAAGTGAGACTGTATTGTTGCTCAATGATTTATTGCTTTTTCTATTAACTATTTAATTCCTATAGGACAAAATGGACCAACTGCTACAGATGTTGCAAAGTACAGATCCCAGTGATGATCAACCAGATCTTCCAGAGTTACTTCATCTTGAAGGTAAACTATTTTCCATTAACTTTCCACATAAAAAAATAATCAGAGGTATATCTAGTGTTCTGTTACAGAATAGTTTTATATTTAGATAAAATTGAGAATGATATAAAAAATACTAACATTTCTACTCCTCTATGACTTCGTTTCACTTATATGAATATCCGTGAGAGATTTGCTTCCTTTTACTGTGTTTTCTTACATTTCTTTAAATCTTGTTATCTTAGCAATTTGTCACCAGATGGGACCTCTCATTGATGAAAAGCTGGAAGATATTGATAGGTAAAAGAACATTTGCAATTATCTATATTGTATATCTTCTTCCCTCAAGTTCTGTTTAAGTGCCTACTGGGATAGAGTTGCCTTTTTATTATTTTTTTATTTTAAAGATAGGCCAAAAGAGCCAGTTCTCATTCAGTTATTTTCTACTATAGATATGGGAATTAGAATTAGTCACATCTTCCTATTTTTTTTAAGGTCTGCATTTGTTTGACCTTAATTATATTAGTCTTTTAAGAAGAATAATGGTTACCGATTGTAATCATTATAGTGCTATACGTAGCATTACCAGAGCCCACAAATGACCTACCCATCTGTTATTTACTAGGGACACCTAGTTATTTCAAGGTAAAGTCAAGTACAGTAATATGGTGGAGTTCTCCCAGCACAGTACATAAAGCAGTTTTTGTTGCCTTTGAGCTAAAGTACAGGGTATTTTCTGCCATAAAGTTTAAATTTTTAGTAATATCTACTTATATTACTTTTTGCTATTTTATGTGCCTTATTTAGAACATCGTATCATTTAAATAGCAGTTGTTTGAAATTACTGTGTAATATTTCAGAAAACATTCAGAACTCTCAGAACTTAATGTTAAAGTGATGGAAGCACTTTCACTGTATACGAAGTTAATGAATGAAGATCCAATGTATTCCATGTATGCGAAATTACAGAATCAGCAGTATTACATGCAGTCATCTGGTGTTTCTGGTTCTCAGGTAAGCCTTTAAAAATTCAGGCATATCATTTTATTTTTACTTTTTTAAGATTTTATTTGTTTTAGAACACGTGAGCAGAGGGTGGCACAGAGGGAAAGGGAGAGAAAGAGTCTCAAGCAGACTTCCCGCGGAGTGTGGAGCCTCACTTGGGGCTCATTTTCAGACCTCCACGATCAAGACCTGAGCCAAAATCAAGAGTTGGATGCTTACCAACTAAGCTACCCAGGTAGCTCCTCAAGTATATCATTTTAAATTCTCAATATATTTGAAATTATTTGGAATAGCTATGTTTTTATAAAAATGTGAAACTTTCTGAAAGTAATCTTAGACTAAAGTTTAAAAGAATTTTTTACTTGATACATACAATGTATAATACACTAATTATTCCAGAATTCTTTTTAAAAAATTGTTTTTCTTCAAGGGTATGCATCAGAATCACTAATCAAATTAAAAAAAAAAAATACAGGTTTCTTAGCCCCACCTGAAACCTAATGAATCAAAACATTCAAGAGTAAGGACAAAACATCTATATATTTCTAAAACTTCATATGTAATTACCTGGTTAAGAACCTCATTTTTTTGTCTGATTATTGCTAAAAAATTAATAACTTTTTCTGGGTATCTGCAGTTTTTTATTTTATAGTAAGTTGTTTTAATCTGAATTTTTCCCTCTTCCTTTAACAAGATATAGAATGTGGGCACCTGGGTGGCTCAGTGGGTTAAAGCCTCTGCCTTTGGCTTGGGTCATGATCCCAGGGTCCTGGGATCGAGCCCCACATCAGGCTCTCTGCTCAGCAGGGAGCCTGCTTCCCTTCCTCCCTCTCTGCCTGCCTCTCTGCTTACTTGTGATCTCTGTCTGTCAAATAAATAAATAAAATCTTAAAAAAAATATATAGAATGTAATATAGAGCCCTTTTCCTCCTTAATCACCCTAAGCAACTATTTCAAGAGCACTTTCCCCACAAACTGAGTAAGTTTACTGTCTAGGGAATAATTAGATAGGCATTCTACTTTACTTATGCAGAGTGGCACAGATTTTGTGCAAGTCCCCCCCCCCCCCCCTTAAATGGCCCACTTCCCCTGAAATGAGAGGCCTGATGCCTGGGACTGAGTAGTCATATTTGAGCAACATGGGGCTAGGTGACAGCTACTCATGGCTCTTGATACCAGTCTGAGAAAAAAACAAAAACTCTTTATTTGCAAAGTACAAAAAACAATGCGTTTAGATTGGAATAGCTCTGTTTATAATTAAGACCTTCTGTATTCTGATGTATGATGAGTCTTAAAAGCTTAAAGAAGCTTTTAAGCTAAAAAGCTTAAAAGAAGTGCTAAGATGATTGTCTTACCTCCTGATGACTGTGTTACTACTATACTATCTTTACTACTATCTCACCTGGTAGGAGTCTGTCTCACTTACGTAGACAGTGGGGTTCTCTTCAAATATATGAAATGGAAGGATTTAGTGAATACTATAGAAAATTAGAATATTATGTGTGTTTAAGATTTTGGGCATTTAAGAGGTCAGTCTCTTTAGACTAAAATAAGTATAGTTTTTAGATGCCTGAGAGGTCAAACAATAGCCCAAAGACAAATCCAGCCTCCCACCTGTTTTTGTTTTTGTTTTTGTTTTTTAAATCAACTTTGCTGTAACATTCTCACTCATTTATACATTGTTTCTGGCTGCTTTCTATATGGGCAGAGTTCAGAGAGGCCCACAAAGTCTAAAATATTTATTATCTGGACTTTTGTAAGAATGTTTGCTGACCCCTGCTTTTGAAAGTTAGGTTGCTCTGTGTTCACTAAACTGTAATGTAGGAAATACAGATTGTATATGCAGTCTGTGGACATGAAATAGTGAATTCAAAGACACTTCTTAAACATTTTTTGGGATTCCTTTTAGGAAAGTACTTAAAATATCAATATGGAAAGAGAGATGATATTAGTGTAAAGTTTCGAGGTAAGTTCCTTTACCGCTTCTATATGAGATAAACACAAGTTTAGCTCATGTTTACCTAAGAAAATCATCAGAAGCCTACTTCACTGAAAAGTATTTTTCTTAATGGCTATCAAAAGAAATAACTTTTAAAAAGATTTCAGAGATTTGATTGTTAATTCGCTTTGTAACTGAATGCCTTTACAAAGAAATTTTAGCATACCTTTTAAAGTCTTAGAAACTGTATTTTTCTTTTTTTTTGTCATGAACTGTTCTAGGTATATCCAGGGCCTCCCCAAAGTGGTACTTACCTGGTTGCAGGGAGTGCACAGATGAGCCATCTCCAGAGCTACAGTCTTCCCCCAGAGCAACTGTCTTCTCTCAGCCAAGGAGCAGTTCCAGCATCTGTAAACCCAGCCCTTCCCAGTCAGCAGACTCAGGCGTCCTACCCTAAGTAATTGGATTTTTGACTGTTGTTTTACTGCTGTTTGGAGTTAGTACTGTTGTAACTCTTAAATGCCTCCATTCACGTGTAACCGTAAGAGCTGCATAAGAAAAACCTAGGATAGATGCCATCACCAGTACCAGATGGTCACCCTGTTTGTGGTTAGGAGTGGGTTCTACTTGAACCCCTGCATTATTGCATTACAAGCTAGCCTTCTGTCTCACTGAATCACTGAACAGCTCTATTCAAGTCTTGGTTTTGTATTTTTAATATTTCCTATCATTTTTCTTTTTATCAAGGTGATATTGGCATATAACATTATATAAGTTGCAGAGGTACATTTTAATTATCTGTATGCACTATAAAGTGATCGCCACTAAAAGTGTAGTTACATCCATCACCATTCAGTTTACCTTCTTCACCCATTCTACCCAGCCCTTCATCCTCTTCCCCTCTGGTAATCTCCAAGCTGTTCTCTGTATGAGTTTGGTTTGGTTTGGTAGTGGTTGGGTTGTTTTAGATTCCACGTATGAGGGGAATCATTAGAATATTTGTCTTTCTCTGACTTATTTCGCTTAACAGTGCTTTTAAGTTCCATGCATGTTGTCTCAAATGATAAAATTTCATTTTTTTATACCCAAGTAGTATGTATACACTGCATATACTACCGTACACACACACACACACACACTCATACATCTTTATTGATTAATTTATCAGTGGACATTTTGGTTATTTCCATTTCTTGGTTATTTTAATAATCCTGCGGTGAACATAAGGGTGGATATATCTTTTCAAATCAATATTTTTGTATTCTTTAGATAAATACCCAGAAGAGGAGCAACTGGATCATATAGTCATTCTCTTTTTAATTTTTTGAAAAATCTCCATACTGTTGGCTGCACCACTTTACATTCCCACCAACAATATATGATGATTGCCTTTTTTGTACTGCCTCATCAACACTTACTTCTTGTCTTTTTGATAATACCCATCTAATTGGTGTAAGGTGATATCTCATTGTGAATTTGATTTGCATTTCCATGATAATTACTGATTTCAAACATCTTTCCTGTGCTTCTTGGCCATCCTTAGGTCTTTGGAGAAATGTTTACTCATATCATCTTCCCACCTTTTAAATTGGATTGTTTGGTTTCTTGTTGAGTTATATGAACTCTTTATATATTTTAGATATTAATTCCCCATCAGATATATGATTTGCAGAAAACTTTCTCCCGTTCAGTAGATGGCCTTTTTGTTTTGATGATGGTCTTCCACTATGCAGAAGCTGCTTTTTGTTTTGATGTAATCCCATTCATTCATTCATTCATTCAGTTTTGTTTGTTTCTTTCTCTTGCCTATGGCATTAGATCCACAGAGATATTGCTAAGACCGATGTCAAAGAGCTTATTACCACCTGTGCTTTCTTCTTGGAAATTTATGGTGTCAGGTTTTACATCCAAGTCTTTAATCCATTTTGAATTAATTTTTGTGTATGCTGTAAGCTGGTTGTCCAGTTTCATTCTTTAGCATTTAGCTGTCCAGTATTGCCAGCACCATTTACTGAAGATACTGTCCTTTCTACATTGTATGTTCTTGGCTTATTTGTTGTAAATTAATTGTCTGTATGTGTGTGGGTGTAATTCTGAGCTCTCAATGATGTCCCACTGATCTGTCTCTTTTTATACTGACACTGTGTGTTTTGATTACTGTAGCTTTATAGTATAGTTTGAAATCAGGGAGCATGATACCTCTAGCTTTGTTGTTCTTTCTCAAGATTGCATTGGCTATGCAGGATCTTTTTTGATTCCATACAAATTTAGAACTATTAGCTCTAGTTCTGTGAAAAATGACCTTGGAATTTCAATAGAGATTGTAATCAATCTGTAGATTGCTTTGAGTGGTATGGGGACTTAACATTAATTCTTCTAATCCATGAGCACAGAATATCTTTCCATTTATTTGTGTAAACTTCAGTTTCTTTCATCAGTGTCTTATAGTTTTCAATGTATAGGTCTTTCACCTCCTTGGTTGAATTTCCTTCTAGGTATTTGATGCAGCTGTAAGTAGGATTATTTTCTTTTTTTTTTTTTCTAATTTAATTTTTATTTTTTTTTGTTAACATTTAATGTATTATTAGCCCCAGGGCTACACATCTGTGAATCACCAGGTTTACACACTTCACTGCGCTCACCATAGCACATACTTTCCCCAATGTCCGTAACCCAGCCACCCTCTCCCTACCCGCTTCCCCCCCAGCAACCCTCAGTTTCTTTTGTGAGATTAAGAGTCTCTTATGGTTTGTCTCCCTCCCGATCCTATCTTGCTTCATTTATTCCTTTCCTGCCCCCCCCCAAGCCCCCCATGTAGCCTCTCAACTTCCTCATATCAAGGAGATCATATGATCTCTGATTGACTTACTTCGCTAAGCATAATACCTTCTAGTTCTATCCATGTCATTGCAAATGGCAAGATTTCATTTCTTTTGATGGCTGCATAGTATTCCATTGTGAATATATGCCACCTCTTCTTTATCCATTCATCTGTTGATGGACATATAGGTTCTTTCCATAGTTTGGCTATTGTGGACTTTGCTGCTATAAACATTTGGGTGCACATGCCCCTTCAGATCACTACATTTGTATCTTTATGGTAAATATCTTTATGGTAAATACCCAGTAGTGTGATTGCTGGGTCATAGGGTGGCTCTATTTTCAACTTTTTGAGGAGCCTCCATGCTGTTTTCCAGAGTGGTTGCACCAGCTTGCAACCAGCTTATGGCATACTTTTTCATGTGTCCGTTGGCCATCTGGATGTCTTCTTTGCAGAAATGTCTGTTCATGTCCTCTGCCCATTTCCTGCTTGGTTTATTTGTTCTTTGGATGTTGAGTTTGGTAAGTTCTTTATAGATTTTGGATACTAGCCCTTTATCTGATATGTCGTTTGCAAATATCTTCTCCCATTCTGTCAGTTGTCTTTTGATTTTGTTGACTGTTTCCTTTGCTGTGCAAAAGTTTTTCATCTTGATAAAGTCCCAATAGTTCATATTTGCCCTTGCTTCCCTTGCCTTTGGTGATGTTTCTAGGAAGAAGTTGCTGTGGTTGAGGTCAAAGAGGTTGCTGCCTGTGTTCTCCTCAAGGATTTTGATGGATTCCTTTCTCACATTGAGGTCCTTCATCCATATTGAGTCTGTTTTAGTGTGTGGTGTAAGGAAATGGTCCAATTTCATTTTTCTGCATGTGGCTGTCCCAATTTTCCCAACATCATTTGTTGAAGAGACTTTTTTCCATTGGACATCCTTTCTTGCTTTGTCAAAGATTAGTTGACCATAGAGTTGAGGGTCTATTTCTGGACTCTCTATTCTGTTCTATTGAACTATGTGTCTGTTTTTGTCCAGTACCATACTGTCTTGATGATGACAGCTTTGTAATAGAGCTTAAAGTCTGGAATTGTGATGCCACCAATGTTGGCTTTCTTTTTCAACATTTCTCTCTATTCGAGGCCTTTTCTGGTTCCATACAAATTTTAGGATTATTTGTTCCATTTCTTTGAAAAAACTTGATGGGATTTTGATAGGGATTGCATTAAACGTGTAGACTGCTTTAGGTAGCATAGACATTTTCACAATATTTGTTCTTCCAATCCACGAGCATGGAACATTTTTCCATTTCTTTGTGTCTTCCTCAGTTTTCTTTCATGAGTACTTTCTAGTTTTCTGAGTACAGATTCCTTGCCTCTTTGTTTAGGTTTATTCCTAGGTATCTTACGGTTTTGGGTGCAATTGTAAATGGGATTGACTCCTTAATTTCTCTTTCTTCTGTCTTGCTGTTGGTGTAGAGAAATGCAACTGATTTCTGTGCATTGATTTTATACCCTGACACTTTACTGAATTCCTGTACAAGTTCTAGCAGATTTGGAGTGGAGTTTTTGGGTTTTCCACATAAAGTACCATATCATCTGCAAAGAGTGATAGTTTGACTTCTTTGCCAATTTGGATGTCTTTAATTTCTTTTTGTTGTCTGATTGCTGAGGCTAGGTCTTCTAGTACTATGTTGAATAGCAGTGGTGATAATGGACATCCCTGCTGTGTTCCTGACCTTAGAGGAAAAGCTCTCAGTTTTTCTCCATTGAGAATGATATTTGCTGTGGGTTTTTCATAGATGGCTTTGATGATATTGATGTATGTACCCTCTATCCCTACACTTTAAAGAGTTTTGATCAAGAAGGATGCTGTACTTTTTCAGATGCTTTTTCAGCATCTGTTGAGAATATTATATGGTTCTTGTTCTTTCTTTTATTAATGTACTGTAGCACATTGATTGATTTGCGGACTGAACCAACCTTGAAGCCCTGGAATAAATCCCACTTGGTCATGCGGAATAATCGTTTTAATGTACTGTTGGATCGTATTGGCTAGTATTTTAGTGATAATTTTCACATCTCTGTTCATCAAGGATATTGGTATGTAATTCTCTTTTTTGATGGGATCATTGTCTGGTTTTGGGATCAAGGTAATGCTGCCTCATAAAATGAGTTTGGGATTTTTTCCTTCCATTTCTATTTTTTGGAGCAGTTTCAGGAGAATAGGAATTAATTCTTCTTTAAATGTTTGGTAAAATTCCCCTGGGAAGCCATCTGGCCCTTGGATCTTGTTTGTTGGGAGATTTTTTTTTTTAAAGATTTTATTTATTTATTTGACAGAGAGAGAGATCACAAGCAGGCAGAGAGGCAGGCGCGGGGGCGGGGGAAGCAGGCTCCCCCCTGAGGAAAAAGCCAGATGTGGGGCTTGATCCCAGGACCCTGAGATCATGACCTGAGCCGAAGGCAGAGGCGTAGTCCACTGAGCCACCCAGGCACCCCTGTTGGGAGATTTTTGATGTCTGCCTCAATCTTCTTACTGGTTATGGGTCTGTTCAGGTTTTCTATTTTTTCCTGGTTTAGTTTTGGTAGTTTATATGTCTCTAGGAATGCATCCATTTCTTCCAGATTGTCAAATTTGCTGGTGTACA